TATCACCATTTTATAAGTTTTAAAACCTATCCTACTCTATTTGTTAAAGTTAAAGCTTGTTGAAATCTCCTTCCTTAACATTTCCTAAATGTCCCCCTAATACTCCACTTTTCCCTCACATTCCTTTACTATTTTAGTATTTTAATTAGGTTTGTTTTCAGAGCTCGGAGGTACAGAGCTAACACCACCCTAGGTTTGCTAAGATAGCGTCTAGAAACAGTCTCCTCTATCCCACACTGAGCACTTCCACGCACAGGACAGACACTCGTACCAACAATGGAAAGGCACTTGAGGTATAACTTTGCTCTAGTTATCACTTTAAGTATAAAATCAGTGTTTCTCAAACTATTGTCTTTTCTATAACATGTGAGTGGAACTAACTAGGCCCCTTGCTCTCCAGGATTTAGTATGTCCAATAAATAAAAAGATTTTAAATAAACGATGGTTTGACTACGTCCTTACAAATGAGGATAAATGATAAACAGTAAACAAGTATGTCCTATGAAATCTGGACACGATGGAGAATTGACGCAGTCTGAGGCTCAGAGAGAAAGGGGTACAGAGGGCGAGGGAGGGGGCCCCACATAGACAGAACTGCAGGGACAGCCAAAGACCCCAACAAAAAGGAGAGACCTGAACCAACAGACCCCGGGGGCTGGGCAATGTGCCTAGACAAGCAGTGGCTTTGCAGAGCACGTCTGTGGTTTTCGTCTTTATCGCAAGAGTACGGAGAGACAGACTGGAAGCAGGATACTGATGTCATCAGAATTAAAGTCCCTCGGGTCCCGCAAATGTGGTAACTGAGGCACCGAGGTAAGTCAGAGGGCTGGCCCAAGGCTCATCCTAAGGACCAAACTGGGATTTTATCTCATCCAAGAGGACACCAAAGACCATACTCAATAACTGCTTGGCCGATTCCGACACAGGCGAGGGATCCAGTTAGAAGCTGCCCTCCTCCAGGCATGACCTGGGGAAGGTCTTCAGTAGGGGAGACGATGGGCCGGGAGGACAGACGGACTTTCTGAACATCTTTGAGCTCAACTGGCAGGACTTGGAGACTGTATTTGTTTCCTCCCACAGGCTAGGAGGTCCTTGGAGATGGCGTCTAGAAACATGCTGGGAGCGTGGTCAGTCTAGTGGACTGTTTAATCAATGAGGGACAGAAGGGGAAAAATCTACAATACATATGTGCCACAGTTTGATGCACATTTTATTTATTATTATTTTTTTATATAGCTGAGCTATCCTGCTACCTGTTGGCAGCTCAGCGGCTGCTCAGCTCGGGCAGGGACTCGAACTGCTGTTGCTCAGACTGCTCTCTCTTGAGCGAGCTCTTAACCAACTGAGCCACTCGGCCGGCCCTGATGCACATTTTAGAACACAAACATACACGTTAAAGTATGAAATATAATAACTAAATAAAATTATTTGCAAAACAATAAGCTAGCTTCAAACCCGTTTTTTATGTGGTATTTATAGCATATTCTCCAGGTTGTTACTTTTAGACACATATGTAAATTAAGTGGACTGTGATATAAAGTCAAATATTCCNAAAAAGACATACATTAACATTGCTATTTTTCCCACTGATACAGGATTAATTTTTTAAGTGTTAATGAGATTAAAATGGCCTTTAAGGGATCCTGTGGTTCCTCCCAGAACAAAGCAGCAAGGGTGCACCAAAGCGGCTGACAAAGCGAAATACCCACCGCCCTGCTCGGTGATCACAGCAAACCTTCACTCTGCGGCTTTTGAATATTTAGCACAAAATACGGAGGAGTTGGGGTAGGAAAGGGTGCTTTTGTTTTTCTACAATGTGTTGTTTGGATTTTGATTGTATTCCAGTCTCTCTCTGGTGGGCAATCCACTTTTCCCGACTTCATTCATGAGGAATGAGTCCTACTCAGCTGCACACAGGGCTCAGCCTGAGGTAATAAGACAGGATTCCTGTAAATAACTGCTGACTAAGGTCAGTGCGGCTCAAGAAAATCAGGTGGGCTGTTCCATTCCTGTCCCGAGAGCAGGGAGCACAGACAAACTGTCACTTAAACGGGAAAAAACGGGATCATCTCACTTGTTGGTGTTTCTCGTTTTCCTTAAAAATCAGTTCATGAAATGCATTTCGACAGCAGAGCACAGAAGCACACTAACGGCGTTTGGTTTCATCTGACACGACCTAGACCAACGTGTCTGCCGGCCCCCAGGCGCGTCCACTCTGCCCCCCAGTGCAGCTGTGGCCAAGTAGTTAAGAGGTCACCTGGACGCTGGCTCACCTGCCGGAAGTGGACACACACGGCTGCTAGCTCACCGCCCTCACTGTCCCTGGGGGGACCTTCTTGTCTAAGTGACATCAAAATTCCAATGGTTTTAACTCAGCTGAGCCCCCCAAAAAGGTGTTGAAAGGTTATGGAGAAATCTGAAGCCAGAACAGGTAACAGATGGCAGAAATTTCTTCTGGGAGGGAAAGAAAACTCAAAAGAGGAAGATGACTCCCACTCAAGGTCCCTCCTCTTCTGATTCAAGCTTAGCCCCTTCCCTAAAGGAGCCCTGAGCAGACAGTCCTGTCCTGTCTTTTAAAAAGCAGTACTGGTAAGGATAGCTGAGTCATTAGGAAAACAACACAAATGGACTCCTTTCTGGTGCAGGAGTGACTTTCAGAATAAAGGCTCCCGACAGGGGCTGGCTAGCCAGGCAAACACACGGCCATAGTTAGGGTGTCCGGTGTAAACTAGAGCAAACCCATTCCCAGTCCTCTCCTCGGGGCCACCACCCCCGGCCTCCCGACGCACCTGCAGGCTTTGAGGAGCGGCTCCGTGGGCGGGAAGATCTGGGTGAGGGTAGTGTAGCAGGGGATGGCCACTGCGTTGTAGAAGCCCAGCTGACGCCACCGAGACCACCGGCAAGAAACACACTGCACGTTAGCAATTCTCGCAGCACGGCGTCTCACGCGAGCTTCGTTTCCGAAGCCTAACTATGAAATTAAATGTTTAGTTTTGCTGCGTGATGTTGGGGCTCAGTGACTAGTATGGCAGAGCTCATGGAAAATGCATTAAAAACATCCTAGAAATAAAACACATGGAGACTTAAAACACATTAAAAAGTTCATCTAAAGCCCAGGTACAACATTCAACGAGGTTCTATTTATAAGCACGTCAAGGACTAGCTCTAGTCCATTTCTGAACCCGGTCAACGTCAGCGCTCGGCCGCAGACATCCCAAAGCCTGGTCCGCCCTCCTGCCAGGAGGCCGCTCCTCCAGGCAAACACTCAGGAGTCACGCCGCGTGCTGTCTGTCTGCTGACCTGCTGGCTCTGGGGCTGAGACTTGATTCATATCCCCCAGCCTGCTCCCCTTTCTGCACCTACAATAAATCTCACTGACTTTATCACAGTTCTCTCAGGTTTCAGTTCTCTCAACATGTCAAATTTCACAGTTTTTCATCTGTGGCACTGTAATAAATATATTTCAAAAACGTTTTATTAGGAATTTTGGGCCACCGTGCAAATAAACAGCGCTAGCTCCCAGTGGTCCCCTGAGGGTGAACGTACAGACCAGCCGGACTATTAGCCGTCACCCACTGTCTCGCTCTAACTGCCCAAGGGGTGGGCTACGCGGACAGGATCAAATGCGCTCCTTGGATAAGGTGACCCCCAACCCATGGCTTATCAATTTCTTCAATAAAAGGAACGTCAGTGGGATGTGGCAAAGGACACACAGGGGTCTAACCTATGGGTTCCTCTCACTCTCCCTGCTGTAAGGACCTGCCATCGCGGTGACCTCACTGGAGTCCTGCCTGCACATTTCTGTCTTTGCGGCTCACGCGCACTTGCTTATTTTAATATTTAGCAGGCGTCATGGAGCACAAGGTCTCGAGAACGAGATTACTTAGTAGAAAGTAGTGTTTTATTATTGTAGCAAAGAATAATTTTATAGTAGTCACAATTTAGAAGCAACAGCATTGGTAAAATATTAGCTGACCACATAAGTATTTTATTTAAAACTCTCTTACACTGTAGCTGGATCTGGAATTTTGGCACAAAATTAAACTATTTTCTTAGTTCAATACCACTAGAACAGAGGTGACTCTGAATGACACTTTCAGCTACACTATGCATTCTGGTGGGACGACTGCTTACTGTCTAGAAAAAAATATTGTTAGATCCCTATCTTAAACTATATGACAAGATAAATTCCAAGTGAATTCACACATCAAACATAAAGCGATGGAACAAAAAGGGCAAAGACAGCAGAGGCGGGTGTCTGCATTGCCTTGGGAGGGAAAGGCGCTCACAGCAGGACATGCGGAGCAGACACCAGTCAGGCCAGGCGGGTCGCTGTGACTACACACGTGGGACAGTTACATGCATGATGGTAAAAAACTGCAGAGTACACATGAAACATACATGCGGCATGCATGCTAGGCATGCCAGGTGCACGTTCAAACAGAGAAGGAACAACGAATGAGCAGCAAGCCCCGCAGTAGAAAAACTGGCTGTGGCCAGAACAGCCGGTCGCTGGAACACTGGGGACAGTACGGAGGCGGGGCCCTCTATGAGCTGTGGACCTGCCTAGATGCTTGTAGCAAGAGCTCATAAATTAACTTTAAAGAAAGCAGGGATATTTGAGAAATTATCCAAAACCATCATCCTGTGAAGTTTTTGAAGTTATTTCTATCCTGAATTTCTGTAGTATAATGATTCATCCATAACTAACTTCCTTATTATGACATTAGAACATTGGTAGTGTAAAAAGATCATAATATGAGAAATGTATCACAGCAAACAGGCACGCATGGCAAACTAAGGAGACAATCGCTGTCAGAACATCAAAATGTTGGCGTAAGTTATGTACCAACAGCAACACCGGGAAGGAGAGTAATTAAGGTCAATTTATGGTGAGACAAAACTCAACATGTACTGAAATACTATGCGGTATTTGTCAGGAAAAGTGGACCTAATCAGAATCTATAATGTTACTCTCCAAAAAAATACCTTTATATATTCCATGAAAAAATACTTTCTGCATGTTAAAAATATTAACGATTCACATTTGTCCATCCCCTCTAGTTCTAGTTAAAAAAGGACACCCATTTACTGTAATTACATCTGTAGAAAGAAATGATGACAGGGTACGCTGTGAATTAGGGTTTGCTAATCTTGGTCTTAATATCCCCAAACTCCCTCTAAATGGAGAGGGTTTCAAGTGGTCTGGGCTCTCTCTCTGACCACTGACTGCCCCCCATCCACAGCACAGCCATCCCCTCAAACTTCTGAGGTCAGCCTGCAGCTTTGGGGACAAAAGCAAAGGCTACCGTTAACCCTCCACCCAGCTGAGAACTACACTGTCAGTCAAGTCTACTGTCCCCTCAGCACAAATGAGGTCCCCCAGAGCGTCTTTCCTTGTGAAGGCTCATTTCAGCGGGTGAAGACTCAAGGGCAATGGGCTCATTTCTTTTTTTCTCTAGTTCTCAGCTCCTCTAAGATAAATTAAGTTTCTGCATTCATCACCAGACCGGGAATGACCCATCCACTCACTGTCCATAAAACATAAGATGGTGTATGCTTTTCATTCTTACCGGATCTGACAACCCCCGGAAGCTCTGACTTTACAACATAGCTCCTACCTGGCCCTCGGGGACTTCGTCCTTCTTGTCTCTGTCCATCATAGGAATCGGCTGGATTCCCAGTTTCTTCATCTCATCGCCCTACAACGAGGAGGGGAAATCACACTTTCTCAACTTACAAAGTTATAACATTATGGTATGAACACGCTCTTCCTTTATTCATTAGTTTTCTTCAAAATGAATCACGTTTTTGGTGACCGACACCCCAAAAAGTCAAAATAATGAACAACTTAGCACAT